GTGTATATATGTATGTGTGTATATATATATATATATATATATATGTGTGTGTATTTGTATATATGGATTTGTACTGGCTACCTTGTTCAGTGAGAATGTGATAGATATTTTTCTGTATTTTCTGACATTTTATAGACTTAATTAATTGAAATAATAAACAATAAGAAAACATTGTAAGCAACTTGAATTTTTTCCCTCTGGCTCTAAAATCTATTGTACTTGGATTGTTTCTTACTAAACAGGATTAACAGCCTTTGTCACAGTGTCTTGCAATATAACTAGAATTCTTTTGTCGCTTCATCTCGTGGCCCCGCTGTGTTGGGTCTCACTGTTATATTAAGATCCAGTAGATATGAGCACATGCATTCACCGCAGTTGTAAGAGTACAAATTCATTTGTATTTGTTTGCTTGTTGAAAACAGCGTGTCTGCCATCTCACTCTGCTCCTTTCTTCTGCAGCTGGACAACCTGACTCTAATGGAGATCAACACCATCCGGTCATTCCTCCTCGACTCTCTCAACTGCATGTACAAACTACGTTCCAATCTGCTGCCCGGTTCCAACAAAGGACAGTTTACGGATTACTGAACCACAAGATCAAGGCCTGCAGAACAGGTTTGGATCATGTCCAAAAAACTTGCAAAGGCTGGGGTTAAATCTTTGGACTGAGTATGGACCCTTCATTACTGAAAAGCCAGTTTTCTCAGAAACTGAAGAAAGCAGAAAGTTTTACTTTTTAAGGGATTATATTTCTTTTAGGGGAGACATATGTTAATCTGTACATATTTAAATATGTGCTTAATTAATTTAGGATGCTCATTGTATCTAAAAACCAGTCACGATTTTTGTATGTTTCAATATATAACAAAATAAAATGTCTAGGGTATAGAAGTATTTTGTTTTTCAAATTTTTTTCCAACAACTGTTGATGCATAATACACAAATAGAAATATATAAATATCTACTTATCTAAGTCCTCATGGAGAAATTTGCCCTGCATTTGACCCACTGTAAATATGTAGAAGCAGTGGGGACATCCTAGGACCAACTCCAGGTCTGAGGTCAGTGCTTAAGTGGAGAGCCACAGCAGAACTGGTCTTAAAACCTACAATGCCTGTTGTTTGAGATGGAAGGAAACCTACATAAATACAGTTCTAACCAAGATTCATGGCACTGTAATCTAAAACCGCTAACAAACTTTTAGTAAAGGCATGATTAAGTACAAAGTTAACAAATCTAGTAATAATCTTTGCCAGAAGGGCCTTGAGTACATGTATGAGTTCAGGTTTCTACCCTTGTGTAAAAAAAAAAAAAAAAAAAAAAAAATCCAACTTTCTTACTAAAGCTTAATTTATACTCGTCCGCAACTATGCATAGGCATCAAAGTGTTCCTATGCAGTGAAGGGGTTTATGGGTAAACAACAAAGATATAGCTGCCTGGCAATAGGTGGCAAGTCTAGCCAAGTAATGCCATTTCAGAAATTTGTCCCGATGTCTTCGGAGATGCGAGTGTTAGCAGGCAGCTATATCTTTGTCGTAGCAGAGATGGATCACCCAACTGGTGTCCAGGATGCCCAGCTTCGCACAACATGTAGCTGAGATTTGAAAGGTGTGTGCGCGTCAGCGACCATCAGCGACCTATGTTTACCCATAAACCCCTTAGACCATTAATGTTTTCACAAGTATAAATGCAACAGTCTCCAAATGACAGACGTATACATTCACCAGCCACTTTATTAGGCACGCCTGTACAGTTGTATGCAATTTAATGCAACACTTCCATCTTAACATCCGTGTTTATGAAGTTCAGTGTTTCAGTTTATGGTGAAAATTTCATAAACGTATAAATTCAATTATATTCAATTCATAGTTAAAGGCAGTGTTGTACTGGACTGCATTATTTTCTGAGGTGTTCCTAATATTCTGACCCTCTCATGTTGGGGAGGACAAAATTATAGACACCTCTGTGGTGACCTCTAATGGTCCAGTACAACACCACCTTTAACTATGACCTCTACAATGAACATGCCACACTTTCACCCAAAACAAACATTTTGAGCTTCATGAACAGATGTTGCACTGAAGTGCATACAGGTGTACCTAATAAAGTGGCCAGTTTTCCCATACATGCAATGATGCTGAAGTATAAATCTGGCTTAACACCCACAAAAAGACAGGTTTATATTTAACATTTTTGAAATATTTTATTTTTTGTCTGAAATCACAGCCATATATTCATAAATACCTAATTACTACATTCAACAAAGAATATATTACATTACAATGAATTCAAACAAGTACATTTTAAAAACAGGATTTCACAGCATCTAGACATCCTCCACTGAGTAATGGGGCTATTGCATGGGCATGCGTGGGTTGGTGACAGAGGGCTGGGTAAGGGGGGCTCACTGTAGTACACCTTCCTCCCCAGCTCGTTGGCAGCTCCCTCAACATGCATGCTCCCTTATTAGCTGATAGGCTGCACTCTTGGCTCTCTAGAAAAGTGACAGACTATGCTGTATCCTTCTGATCCTTTGAACTAGCTTAGGCCTTGTAAGAAAAAGTCTGATTAAACTGAGTTTCAAAGATGCATTTAGATAAAGGAATTCTGTGTTCATTTTGATTTGCACATATTTGAAAGGTGAGGCATACAGTAGACGCTTCAGTGTTAAAGTCCCTGATCACTAATGTTGTGTAGAATATCCATCATGTGGACTGCAACTCATTCACATGCTCTCAAGTCCTGAGGCACTTCTAAGTAATATACTGTATGTTTGGGGTAGTTGTGCTTCATTCTTTTTTTTTTTTTTTAATATAAATTAGCTTTCTGCTCCTTTTCAAAATGTATTACATTTTACTTTTAAATTCCTCACTCTTTTAACCACCCTAACGTAGCAATTTCAAAACAACTTGTATATAGCCTCGGGCATCTCCAATCGCAAGGCTGAGGCAACATGAGTTACAGGGTAGAAAGTTGGTGTAAAACTGCATGAATCTCAGGGAGAGCTGACGAGAAGGATGAAGGGCTGACAGGTTGGAAACAGGCACGAGGCCAGTTAAAGCAAATGTAATTTTGTATGTACTAGGAAAAACCCACTTTGAATTGACTTTGTGTATGATTTCCAGTCAAACACGTTGGCAACTTTAGATAGGATGAGGAAAGGCAGGAAGTAGATGAGTGGGGTCAGAGGAATTCAGCAGTGGAAGATGGATTCTGGGTTTGACTGTTTGGCTATATAACTACAATTAAGGATCAAAAGGTTTACCGGTAGTTTGTTTTTCATTTTGGCACTGTCCTCTCATGACTGCTGCTAAGGGCGTGATGTTGTAAGGCGTAACATTATGCAAACATCATTATTTGATTCCAATGGATAAAGATGATCACTTTATTTGGCCAAGTATGTTACACACAAAGAATTTGTATCCGGGTACAGAACCAAGGCAGCCATCTGCGGCACAAACTCACACCGATGGCTCTAACCATCTAGGACAACTTGGGGTTCAGTGTCTTGCCCAAGGACATTTTGACATGTGGACTGCAGGCACCGTGAATGGTATATGATGTCATATAAAGTGAACTGAAGGTCCAGGGATAGCATAAAGCATTAAGAACCAGTTTAATCAGCTGGCTGCTTAAGAGACTCGTATCTTTACAAAATAGTCAAGTGACCAAAGAAGAACAAACACTAATTATGTCACTGTGGATCTCAACTGTTTCGCAGCTGAAGAATATCACAAGCTAACTAGTCATGCCAGCAGCAGTGAAGCAGAGATGTTGTTGAAATGGTTAGTAAAACAGACACGTTGCTGTGAAGGAAAGAGGGTGAGAGGAGAGAAGCCATGTCTCGGGGCCCCTGACAAAGCTTCACTGAGCTTGGAGGCTAGATGAGGTGGCTGGGGCTGGGTCATAGCTGCGCAGTGCCAGGAGAGAGTAAGAGGAGCAGTACGTCCTGTTTCTCTCGCTCTGTTAAATGTCTCAGAATAAGCTGTTCTGGCCAGCAGCAGTACAAACACTAAAAGCAAGGCTTTCTTTTCCAACCCAAAAAAAAGCATAAACATATAAAAATGGCAGGCTTTTTCTTTTAAAAGAACAGTGATTAAAGTAATAAAAACATACAAAATTCTTTTGTCTTCATATTATATACAATACAAGGCTGAAGCACCTTTTAAAATTCTTATTCTCAAATTTAGTTTTGAAATAAAACATTTCCTTAATTCTTTCCAAAAATGTGCATTTTCTAAGTTCTTCCCTAATCTGAGCAGTTCTTTGTTGTAACACGGTACCACCAGGTAGTTCTTCAGCATTTATTCTTAAGTGCATTTCCAGTTCAAAAGCTCATGTGGCCACTGTGATAAGATCAGTCCCAACTGGCCAGAAGCCTTTGTTTGGAGATTTGGAGCATTCAAGTGTCTTGATGACACCCCCCCCCCCCCCTCAGAGACTTC